CTAATGAAAATTAGTATATAAATGTACCTATGTTTTAATTATTTTATTGTCAACAGGCAGCGAAAGCCGGCGCTCCTTTGGAGGTAGTGATCAGCGGTAACGGACCCACCGACACCATCCGTGGTCTCCTCGTGCAGGCCCGCGCAGGAGACAAGCCTATCGGCAAGTTCACCCTGAAGCCTAACGACCCCTTCGCACAGCTGCTCAACTGCGGTGAACCTGGTGTAAGTAGACAACCGTTTTTAATTAAAATAAGTTTATAGGTTCTGAAGTATAGTATTTATTCAGTTTTGCGGTTCGAAATTGTATGATACGACATTACAGATATAATCATTGAACTTTACAAACTTTAAATTAAAAACTTTTTGTGCACTATAACGCTTATGGTCATGCAAACGAAACGTGTAGATTTAGGTACAATAGGTTCTTACTAAGTGTTGAAGGTATCTGCTTCAAAAGTGTTCTATACTAATATTATAAAGAGGGTAGATTTGTACCATTTTTGGATGTTTGGGTGTTTGTAATGAATAGGCTCAAAAAGTACTTGGCCAATTTAAAAAATTCTTTCACCAATAGAATGCTACATTCTTCCAATTTGACATAGGCTAAATTTAATTTTGAAAAAATTAGGGATCCTTGGTAAAATTTGAACAATGTAACCGAAGGTATAGAAAATAGAGTCTTAAAATGTCTTTCGTCGAATGCGCTGCCTAAACTATTAGCGATAGAACATAATTATGTGCCTACAACAATATTGAAGAACATTAGAATGTCCAACTATTGTAGTTATGTCACTACAACAATCCAAATTTCCAAAAATAAATAATTGTCTACCCCGTGCGAAGCCGGGACGGGTGCTAGTACATTATAAGTTAAATAAAGGCTTCTATATAACAAAATACTTATGAAGTCAAGTATTTGTTGAGTTTTGCGTTTTTTTGAAATTCTCAGTAATTCTATTAAATTCTATTCATGCATAGTAAGTGGGTACGTATGGCAAGCTACAACATTATCATTGCTCTTTGCAAAAATCGAACCCTGCGCCGTGATAGGTGTGACGTAGTGCGCAGCTATTGGTCGTCCAGCCACTGCATCCACCGTAGTTCATGGTCATAGTCGCTTTTACCAACCACCCCTAAACTGTCACTTAACTAAAAGTTACTTAGCGTGACGAAGCACCAAAAGCAACCTCTTACTTGTAATGATACCTAAATCATTTTAAGTGTCACCAACCTTAATTTAGGGGTTGCTATCAATTTAGGAGGTAGAATACCAACTTACTAGTAGTACTATTTATGTGTCACATATACCTATAAGTGTTACCTATCTCAGCTTCCAGGTTCCTTTAAATTTGTGAAAAACAGGCATAAAACTCATTTAGCATTAAATGGTAGATTATGAAGTTACTGCTTCATTGCATTTATTTTTCACTAGCGACCCGCCCCGGCTTCGCACGGATGCAAAATGCATGTATTATACATACCTATACATCTTCCTTAAGAATCAGTCTATCTATTAAAAAAACCGCATCAAAATCCATTGCATAGTTTTAAAGATCTAAGCATATATAGGGACAGACAGACGACGAAAACGACTTTGTTTTATTTTATGTAGTGATGAATTTTCATTCAAGAAGGTAGGTGGATGATTCTACAAAAAAAAACAAAAAATTAACGGCGTCATTATCAAAGCCAAAGTTAACAATTCTGCTGATTAAAATACAAAGTTTAGTTTAAAAAAAATAAGCCGTGTCACTGCTCTCAGCCAATCCAATGAACTACAGATGCTAATAAGTTACTGTGATTCTTAACAACGCGGGAGGATAATGATTTCTTAAATAAAATTTAAAGTTTTTTGAAGAAACACCCAGGTACTTATCTTGTATATTTTTTTTGTAATTACATTTTGATTACACCGACTTGCATACATCCTTGTTTTAAATAAGTTTTTCTGAACGAAATTCTGCGGTTATTTGAATATCACACCGTCTGAATGCGTCGTAAATCCAATGTTATTTGGTTATTTCCATGAAGCACGCGTCCTTCACGAACTTCGAAGCCATAATACGGTTCGGTGAACATATTTATTTGAATAACAGTTTAATATTAATTTTCATGCTGCGTAACTTAGATGCTGGCTAAGAAAATAATTATAATAATATAGAGGTAATGTATGATGAAGAAGATAATTCTTAAGTTGGTATTTAAATGCAAGATAATATTTTGTTCATCTTACTAAAAAACACAAATGGTGTAAGTATAGTAAGCCTGCCTACCCTTTTCTTAAATTGGCTTGTTATATTTGCAAGAACGTTACACAAAACTATACAAAAAACGCGTTTACAATTTAATAATATCGATTAAAAGCTTTCTTTATTAGGGTTGCCACAAAAAATCAATCACGCAGTCGAGCAAAAAACACTCGCATTTTTTTATAGTAGAACCAATTACCATGTAGCTGTTGTATTTCATTGGAAACGTGACACGCGAATTGTTAGGATAAATGTTTATAGCCAAAAAATGTTGTTTGCATTTCCGCACTTATGACGTAGACGTTATGACCTGTGTGTCAATCTAAATTAGACCTTCAGTTGTATCACAATGATTCTGTTGTTCTGCAACAGAACAGAAGAACTGTTAAATTAAGTAATTAGATTACTTACTCATGTATTTATTCGAAACGTACTTATATGCGGATGTGCTTTGAAATTAAAGCGCCTAAAAACTGCCAATCACGGTACTATATTTTATTTTCCAGCCTTGTTACTGTACTACTACGGCATTTTATTAAATCGAAGTATTGACCTTATTAGACTAGGTAGTAAGTACCCTACGCATACAACGATGAACGATAGCCTTTCTCCAAAGGACAAGGACAAACAAAAGCTGTTTTTACTTGGTAGCTATCCACCACAGTATTTTTCTAGTAAACTTGGTTAATTAAACAAATTGATTATTATCGTAAAATACTTTAGATATTCGCAGTTGGGTAATGTGTATATCCAAGAGTTAAAAGATAAAATATAGTATTTAGGCTTAGGCCCTTGCAAGCCAAATGCCAGCATTTGTGACTTGTAGGCTGGTTTGTATTGATTGTGAAGGATGCATATGTGCGTCAAATGACGTAAACATCAACATTTTTTGAGCGAGAGAATCATCCAATGGCTTCTCCCGCTTTGGGTTAGGTGAGAGGGAGTGTCGGACTCTTACTGACTAAAAACCACCGCGTTCCTACTCCAGCTCTTCGAGCCGGAGCCCCGGTAACCCGTTAGGCCTCCCGTGGTAAGTAGGTAAATGCTAACCTAGCAATTGACCTAGTCAAATTGAAGACTGTCAACAGAGCTCAAAATATGCTTTAACTGATTGGATAGCTTAAAAGTAGATACTATGTAGGTATTAAAATTACGAAAATAAAAACCAAAGATTTGTGATCCAGTCTGACTCTGGACTTTCCCATATCAATGAATGTCAACGAGTGGATTAGAGACATTTAATTATCTACCTAATGCTAAATAGATTAGGTATTATTTGGTTTTACAACCTCGCTCTGCAAATGTAATCAGGTTGGAGCATCATTAAAAAAAACACCTGATTTAAATTTGAATTGAGGAAGGTAATCGTTGACGTATTCAATGGCCTCTAGTTTTGTGGTTTATTATTTTTTTAAAGTGTTACCATGCATTGTGAAATCATTAATGTAAATAATAATAATATTAATTCAGTTTTGTTTATTTTAGTACATCGATTAAAAGATAAGCAATTTTGCCTACTAAAATTAGTTATTTAATTTATTATCATATTTAATTCTGAATAAATAAATGCCTAATACCTAATTAAGTGTAATAAATAACTAATATTCCTTAACTAGATACATTAAGTTAGTAGAAGGCCTTTTCTTGATAAAATACTCTTTTGGTTGGTCAATAGGTTCGAGTTTCCATGTTTAACATAAACAGCAGATGTTAAAATTCTCAAAGTTGCGTTGCATCACTCAAGGCTGTAAGTTCATTCTAAAAGGTCGCTTAGTTTTGGTAGGTCGAAGAGGAGGAGGTGCAATAAAAAATGCCGAAAAGATACGTCGATAATAATGAAATAATCTACATAAATACCTAGGTAAATAAATAGGTAATGCACGTTAGCTTACCCATACGTGAAACATATTAATTTATACAAAACTCAACGACTGTATCAATATCATAATGTTATATGCAAGGCTTATTAACCATTGTAACGATTCAATTTTTTGTTGATTATATTGTCAAATCTTACAAATTGTTCACATCCGAGGACATAGGAACCCTTCACTCAGGTTTAAAAACAATTAACGTCATTGCCAAACCACGGCGTGCTGGCGACAGTGGCAACCATGTTTCTTTGTTATCTTAACTATAGACAAAAACAGGCAGGCACCTATTTTGATGTCTACCAAAGGAGGTGTAATTAATGGCGAGGCTTATACGATAATTACGTGTAGATTGTGCCAGGTATTCAACTTATGCGAATATTATATCCATTATGCCATCTAAGTCGGCCACACTATAGTAAATCGTTGTCTGTACGTTCAGAACTATTACTATTCGATTTAGACCTTGACCAAGTAGCCTGTAGGGGTTTAGACTGCTTAGTCTTTATAAGTACCATATACACTGGAAACCAGTAATTTCTAACAAACTTATAGTTACTCCTTCAAACTTAACTACTACTTGATTTTATAATCAGTGGCATACCTTTTCTGTTCGAGGCCTGAGGCAAAAACATCGGATGGGGGTCCCTGTTCCCGATAAGAAACAGAGAAGTTCAGATGAAAACCTCTGATCGGGACGATCACCTTCAAGCTGGGGTCCTTAGCATTTTGCTGACTTGCCACCTTTTAGTTACGCTACTGTCTATAATACCTGTGTGACCTAGGTCAGTTAAATAGCTGGTACCTACAAGTAATATTTAAATCGGAAGGAAGTAAAATTAAATTATCTCACTCACTCTAGGAACTAAATATTGAAGGTGAACGTGCATGTTACCGAGCAGCTATGTTATTCTGTAACTTTCAATTCGGAAGATCGAAGTGAACTCTATCGCGGTCCGCCGTGTCATTGGTTATTAGAATAATCTAGACCAATGACGGGCGAGATTAAATAATAGCCTTGCAGGTCACTGGCACTTTTGTACGTAAATTATTATTACAATCTGTCTAGCCGATCCAATTATTGTCTCCATGGCTGTAATTACACATACCTATATGGTAGTTTATAGGTATAATTGTTTGTTCAAATTACAGTGTCACACCATGCGTAACTCTTTGTACTAACAAGGCGTTAATTTAAGACTTAACCTACCAATGCCGTTATAGGCATAGATAACATATTTATAGGAACTATGGTAAGATAATAGCCTCAGTAGTTCTGGTAGTTCAATTCTTAGACCGGCTGCCGCGCAATGTAGCATGGTTCGATTCTCGCACTAGTTGCGAGGCTATAACAAATCTATTTTGTGTAATCCACAGCATGAAGAGACCTCTTAATGCTATGGATTACCTTTTGCGCTGCGACGCACCCTATACTTCTTTTTGTCTTGTCTTTACTCGTATAACTTACTATATACTTGTTGTCTGAGTGTGTGCCGTGGCGTAATAAAGAGTTTCTTTCTTTTCTTAAAATGTAGACGTTATATATAAGAAATGAAGAATAGGTGTGCGTTAATTTAAAAAGTTAGTAGAAAATGAAATCTTTTTCAGTTTGGCAGGACCAGCCAGGTCGAACGTGACTGAATTTGTAAATGCTTTTGGACTCAAAGTTTCAATAGGCTAGAGGTCACATACCTACTCCAGTAAAAATGTTACCAACACGTAACATGCTAAATGTCAGTTAAGAGTTAGGTACAGACATCGAACTATTTCAAAGACACACCCGGTTTCTGTAATTTAATTGCACAAAAAGAGCTTAACAAAACAACAGTAATAAATTGTAATCAACAACTCAATAATGCTGACTACGAGGTAGACGACTAGACGTACCTACCTACCTAGTAACTAGACGGTTATGTATGACGGTCAACTGCTACGTTGCGTGTCGCAACTTCGATTCCCGCTCACAAGAAATATCTACCTGCTTAAAAAAATATTAAGTTAATGTTTTGTTTAAACTAAAAGCAAAATTGATGTTCTTGTCGTTGCCTATGTGTAGAAAGACCCATTAACATCATAATATTAATTTATAATTATTTTGTCATTTCCAGAACGCCGTGACCCACAAGAAGCACGATGAGAAATTCGACAAACAGACTGTTGCCTTCACATGGACTCCTCCTGCTGGATTCAACGGAGAAGTCAAGATCAGGTATCTAACTAAAAACCAAATATATTTTAAATACTTAAATTACTCGCCCTTAAATTGGTTGAGTCGGAAGTACCACTGTGCACTAACCCCCGATTACTGAAAGGCTAGGTACTCAATTTTAAATTGTACTTAAATATCGTGACATCTCTGTCATTTAGAAGACAGTACTACTTATAGTTAAACAAGACTTACAATAACCTAAGCATGTTTAATCGGCTTTTTTGACTTTTGAGTTGCGATATAGGCCGCCTTGTTGAATAATAGACAGTTTAGTATTTCGACAATTTCTTAGTATTACCTACACACACCAAATAAGTATCATTCCAGACTCCACGTTAGCATGGTGTAGGTATAGTAACGAGGCATTAGGTACATAGCATGGAATTTGTAACCTAAAGTGCCTAAATATAAACCTGTCACTAAAATTGTCTTTTCATTATCCGACTTAGCTTTTTGTTTGAAGCTTCACAAAACTAAGGAAAGGGTTTCATTTACTAATGGATCCATTTTTATAAATGTCTCCCGGATTAAAACACAAAAGGATGACTATAAATAAAGCTTTTGTCTGATCTAATTTTATCCCAAAAACAAAGGACGATAGAACGATATCTGACTACACCTATGTAGGTAGGTACCATAAGAAAACACTAGACAAAAGAACACTAAACAATAGAATAGAATACATATTTTTAGATAATATTAGATACTAGGGACGCAAGGGACGTCAAAGGGTAAAAAGGACACGAGTTCATAACCCGTGAAAGTCATTCCAGACTTTGGTAACTTTATAATGCATGAACACGCACGATGCGATATGAAATTAACAGAATTAATTCGAAAATGGAGTGTGTGGGTGTTTGAAATGAATCAAACGTGTTTGGTGTTCCTTTGTTCGTGGATGCGATCGATTCAATTAAGTTGCCTTGGGTAAATTAGGTTCAATTAGGTATATTGAGAACTGAGAAGCATAATGTTTTGATGAAACCTTTGTGGTATAGGAACCTACTTACGACGTGTAACATACAGATTATAGATAGCCTGTATATTTGTTATCTATGACTATATATAATTGTTTTTTTTTTCTTCCACAGAGCAACCATCGCCCTGAACGGAGCCGTATTCTGGGTGGGCGTCGAATCAGCCCCCATCAAAGTATCCAGCTAATTTATTTAATTAAGTCCCAAGAGTATTATTATTTTGTAATTTATACCTTTCTCACATTTCTTGTGTATGTGTTTGTCTTCTATTTTGACAGTAGATATTTCAAAACAATAATAAATTAATTAATTATACAGATTGTTATTATTTTTGGGTGTGAAACAAAACGCAAATAAATTTTAACAAATACTTTATTTTAAACATAGCACCTAGAATTTTTGTCTTCGAGATCCGTTTACAAAATTCAAGTCTCAATAAATACAAGTAGAGTAGGATAGGAACTAATAGCTTGTATCTACAGTAGAGCATATCAATTTTTTATTACAATACTCTCTTATAATCACTGGCAATATGCAACGAAAATTTCATTTTCAATATTAATTAGGCTTTCCATCATATCTACTTACAATTAAACTTATCTTAATTTTGTTTAATAATAACATAAATAGTTCTTTACAAATCCTAGCTGCCTTAGGCCGAAAATATACACAAAACAAAATTAAATAAAAACAGTAAATAAATTATAAAATTACCTACATAAGTAGCTCTAACAGCTTTTTATAAATAAATATTTAAAATATTGTGCTCATACTGTAGATACATGCATGAAGCTTTCAAAGACTTAGAATTTTTTTTTAATTTTGAGTTGCTACGGATAGTGGTCTTCCAAGATATGCATAGATATTCGAGTAGGTTTTTTTATCGGCGTAAGAGTGGAAGGGGACGGACTTTTTCGGATTATAATGAGATATCACAGTTCTATTTTATTTTAATTAGTGCCATTAATTTGAAATCTGTTATAGACAGATTTATAAGCATGATACTCGAAGATTATGTTCAGTAAATAGAGGAATGAATCTCATTGCAAGTGACTATAAACAATAAATCGGAGTATAGATCTCTCATTCCCCTTTCACCTCTCGAAACTTACACTCTTTACCAGAGACTAAATTTAAGTCTTTGACCAAGCTTGTTAGGAATAAAGCTCGAATTCTATTCACATTGAAGCAATTCCAATACAAACCGCTACAGTTTGATAAACAACTATTGTTACATACACTCTCACAACATATGAAGTCACAGTTACGTTGACAGATTTCTTTGAAATTACAATTCAAAGGAATATCTCATAACACATCTAGAATTTAAACATCATCATATTTTTTTGAAGAAAAAACTAAAACAAAATAAAGTACTAAAAGCCTTACCAATAAATTCATTAATGAGCCTTGGTAGTTTCTAAATAATTTTATAATTAAACATCTATGCAGTAGAATGAAATGAGATCAAACTGCAAATAAGTAGATAAGTAATCGAAACCAAATAGCCGCAGAAAATACATGGTACATAGTGTGGTACTGAGACTTGCAAGTACATATAACTACAATGGTATCTATCCTAGCAACTATGGAAAATGATGTCTGAAGTACTATGAATATAATATATCAGTGTTACGTAAATATATAGAAAACAGTAATTGACTACTACACTAAACATGTAATTCCATTATTCAAATTAAGTTATTATATGAATAGATTTTATTAAAGTTAACTACATGCTGGAAGATTTAAATTGCAGACAATTCATGTGTTTAAATGGATATGTGACATCTCATTACTTTATAGATAGGTAATGTCACTCTGCTCATTATATAAAATGTGTAGTGTATATCCTGTTGGGATACAAACATTATAATATAACTACAAACTGGCAAGATAAGGTCATATAAAAATGTGTGTTTGTGTAAAAGGCAATTTCGGTGAGTGTTACCATCATATACACACATACAGACATACCCAATACAGACTAATCATTACCACAATCTCAATTTCTGTCATGATGTACATATTATCAGATTAAGTCACTTGTGTATTTATTATCAGCAGAATACCTGTTCGCATAATACATTTAGACAGCCTTTATATTTGTACAGATGCATTTTAAATAAAAGAAAATTTACCATCTCATTAAACCTTGAAACAATAAATACTTATAAAATAAATAAATACACCTACATCATAGATAACATATTAAAAATGTAATCAGAAATTAAATTGTCATTGGTCTAAAATAAATGCACTTCAATTTAAAAGTCTTATACCTAAATATAAAACATCACAGTTAATACTGAATAAGTAGTAAATAAATACATAGAATTAAGTTGTTAATTTATATAGGCTATCATTGGTTCTGTATGAAATAGTTTTGCCTTTTGAGCTGTCTATACAAGGAGATATACTTCCCTGCAGCAGAGGTTCTTGGAACAACATACTGCTTACAGAAAAGTTTAGGATCTCTAGCCTTCTCAGAGAGCTCACCACAGTCCAGGGCTCGCAGGAATGCAAGTACAAATGTGAAGCAATTGTGCCTTTCTTCATTGTACCTTTCAGCCTCCCACAACGGACTCTGGCTTACCTGGAACAACAAACCATAATAAATAAGCAATTTGTGGAATGAAAACAAAATAAATTAAGTCCATAAGCATTGTTTGCATACCTTGAGAAGAACACTATCCCAAATCTCATTCCACAACTCGTCAAACTGCTCTAACAGCAGACACTGGTCCCAATCTGAGCTAGAATCGCAGCTACTCCACTTCTTAGTCATGGGGTCCACACCACGAATGCCCTCCTCACTAAACTCCACAACACAACCTTGAGAGTTAGTCACTCCTATGTGTAAATCTTTGGAATTGTAGTAGTCACTGTAAAGATTGAAATAATCATGTAAGTATATAAACGATTTGATAAGGTTGTGATTCACTTTACGAGCTATTAACTTTTCAACGGAAATGAGGCATACTTTGGGCGCTTCGGCACGTAGCAACAACTATAACTTACTTGAGAAAATCGCCGTGAGTTGGCTTCATGACGATGGCGCGAGGATGCTGAGATGCTTTAACGAACGGGTAAGGAACCCTAAAACAAAATTTGGGGCACTTAGCAACAACCTTCATCAGTCATGCTAATCGAGAAGCCGTTACATAAACATATTGTTACCTGAAGGGCAGTAGATTGTAATCATATCTATCCAATGTTTGATCACAAACAGGGCATTTTTCAGGTATTATAGTGCAAAATACTTTGTGATCACAATGGTGGAAACAAAGAATACCCGGATCCATTTTTACACAATGAATTAAGCCGAATTTTCAATGAAACAGTCGCTAACAGTAGTATCACCACAATCGTTGATTAATAAATTTGCTTTGAGCAAAATAAAACTGTGAATACTAGTAGAATAACGTAATGACCAAGCAAAGACTAATGAGAACCTCATAAGAACTTTGCCATTGTCTACCTTTCACAACTCTACTCTCGCTTGAAACCTTTCTACAAAGCAAGCTAAGGTTACGTTCGAAACTATAACTTTCAAACGATACAAAAATACCGAATTATACATTTTTGACACTAATTAGTCTGCTTTTTTGATTTAGAAAGTAAAAGTGAAATGTGTTCGATTGACATTAGAATATTATTACTTTGTCGTGAAATTAAAAGTAAAGAATTGGTGTTTAGTAAAATCAAAATCTCCAAATCACCAATGTAGATTTTTTTAAGAACTGGGTTTCGAACGTACGTAGACGCCTTAAGCGGTGATTGGACAGCTAAACAGCTGTGAACAGATGATTGTTGCGTGCATTTGTATTGGCTAAAATTTTTATCTTTCTGCTAAAGGATTGGCAAAATAATGTTTTGTTATTGGCGCCGAAATTCAAATTTTGATAAGTTGTAAATAAAGTTTTGTACAATAGAAAATTTTAAAAATGTACTTTTTGCACCAGTGGTCCCTTCAGCATTTGAGTCTAGTTTTTGTATAAATTGGCTGAAAAGAAAATGGGAACAAACATTTTTAAGTAATCAATAATATTATAATTTATTTTATTTTTTAATGAAACAAATTTTGGGCATATTAATTTATTATTCTGTAACCGAAGAATTACGCAAGACGCAAATAATTTTATTCATTAAAAACAGAAGTCATAATTATGTCCAAGTAAGTAACCTAATCAATTTGTTACAAGTTATAAAAGGATGTTTCATAATATTTTATGCCCTATTTGTTACCTATACGTGTTACGTACGACCATGGTGTCGAAATTTTGTCAATAATCGTTCATCATGGAGCGTTGTATTGTGTGTTTACCAGTTTCCATGGTAACTAACGCTGGCGGTAAACCACACCTCGTCCACGAGACCCAGTTCTTTCCACAGTGTGCGCTGTAAAGCGTGCGATCCTTTGTTAGGATACTTCCTAACATGTACTATTACAGTTAAATACACTGTTTAACTAATGCGTGTGTGATTAGAAAATTCATGCGCTTTAAATAATTTTAGGAAGTAGTTTGACTAAATAAGTGTGTTAAATTAAATATTTATGAACAAGTTATTACCATGTCATTGAACTTTGTATTTTTTTTTAATTGGTTGAGCTTGACCGCGGAATAGCCGTGCAAGTTGACATAAATGTATAGAAATCGCGTAGTTTCTTGATCATGATGTTTTTGGAGAAGGTGAAACGTTTATTGCAAACAGTTTGGTGGTTGCTAGCAGCAGCAAAGGTGGTAACCGCGGGCATATCCTGCCTCAGTAGTCCCTGCCTCCATGGTATTTGCATAGATGACGTAAACACGTAAGTAGACCATCACTTTATTCATACCAAATACACACTGAACCATGGCAGTCTACTACAGCACTATGCTATGAGTCTACTATGCGTAAGAGGAGTTTGCCATAAACCACCATTGGCAGGCCCGTTGGTGATCACAGTTTAAATGGTTCGTGTATAAGAGAGTGCTACTTTTTTATATGTTTGATGGGCCGACGTTTGACCACTATCTCGCCTGGTGGTGGCGATGATGCGGTCTACGATGGAGCAAGTTGTCCTATAAGCAACCTATTTACTCAGGCCTTGAAGACACCAAGGTTATACTCTTCAGGAAATACAGACTCGGGCAAAGAACGAGTTTCTGTTCAAAAAGCAGTTCCCCAGTCGGTTCTTTTCTTATGACATCTACTGACAGAGTAGGAGTATGTTATTAAATGCATTCTATTCAGTCATCACATACTAATTAAAATTAGAAAAAAAAAACAATGTATTATAGTTACCTATACGACACGTGCCAATATTTACAGTCATTTTCGTAAATAAATAATTGCGCCTGACCTCGCTAACATTTCCAGGAAACGGTTGCACTTTGTACGTAGGTAATTATTTCAACAATACATATAGTAGAAAATTCAACTTAACTATTATTTATTTATGAATTTACTACCCAGATTTATTAAGAAATTATAATACGTAAGTACACCACACAACAGATACGTTATGGTTATAGGATGTACATTGTACATATTATCAAATATCGATCTAATAAGATCCAATGCCCATAAAGAAATAATAAAAAAAATGCCTAGAGGCACTGTTTAACGATAGGAAACGTTACGTTACGTACGATATCGAAACATATCCAATAGTCTCTGAATGTCCTCTGCTCCAATATGAGCCTCATCTATTATTAATCTATTATAATAATAATTTTTTCCTCATCTATTATAATAATAATTTTAAGACCCTTTTGTATCACCAAAAAGCACACGAATAAATACTTTGACTTTGACTTTGACTATTATCATCGAAATACATATACTTCATCAAAATGTCAATTATGTACTCAAAATATTTACAGAACATACTCATGTTACTGTGTGGACGGCTACACTGGAGTTCAGTGTCAAACCAACTGGGATGAATGCTGGTCTAATCCTTGCCAAAATGGAGGCACCTGCATCGATGGCATTGCTTCCTATAACTGCTCCTGCCCTGACGGATTCATAGGTATGTAGAAAATTCCAGTTTTGACCATGATTTGCGTTCTCTAGGTGGCGCTACTGACGAATAAAAGCATTGATGCAGTTAAACTCAAAACTCTAAGTAAAACTGTAACAAATTCTTCTTTACACGGACGTAAATAATTAACAGTTAGCAAAAGCTTGACTTGAATACATAGGTACCAAAGAGCCATCAGACATCCACAGATGGAGCCCAACAGGGCCGATGCCGATTCGGAGTCGCAGAGAACCTAACGGGTTACCGGGGCTCCAGCTCGACGTGCAGGAGAAGGAACGGGGTGGTTTTTAGTCAGTAAGAGTATGACACTCCCCCCTGCCACACCCAGGCGGGAGCAGTCATTCGATGATTTTCCCCGCTGAAAAAAAAAATTAAAATTACATAGGTACCTGAAAAAATAATGATCCAGATATGAAAAATTAAAAAAGTTAAGCAATTTGAATTCGCAATGGAGAATCCGAAATAAAAATGAATAAAAATCACAATAGTCTGCAAAGCAGTATATCGTGAAAGAAAACTATAATTTACATTGATTCAAAACTAATGAGATGACTATAATAATATTTCAAAGGGTCTTTTAAAATTTACATAAATTTAAGTTAGTAATACCTGACTTCAGAAACCCGAGGAAGGAATATTTTAGTCCGTAATCTACTTACCTGTGTGTTAAGATAACAATCTAAATTGACGCAGAAGTATTGATCGAACCAACGTAGGTAGGTACATACACTGGGTAGCTCTAGCTAGGTGCCTAAATAAATGTAGAACACGACACAATATACTAAATAATGTTTATTGTTTACCTAACATGGAGTGGAGCGTCTATCGGTTCACCACCGAATTAGGGTCACACGGAATTTGTTAAAGCAATTACATTAATACGTCAATACCCTATGTGGTCATAAGCAATCTCATGATAGGTATATCTTATATCTCAGTAATATCACAAGAGATCACAGATTCAGGGATTTATTTATAAAATATATTTTTTTATTTCCACTTAGAATTAGCGATATCTTTAAACCTACCCTACACAGCTAAGTCAAAATTAGGGTTTTTAATCCCACATTTGTATTTGTAATGGTTAAAGCAAAAACCTGAGTATAATCATCAATATTTAATTTTCGATTTGTATAAGTTTTGTTTCAATATTTTAGGTGACAACTGCGAGACCAACTACAATGAATGCGAGTCCAACCCTTGCCTCAACAACGGCACATGCATAGACATGAACAACGGATACCTCTGCTCCTGCATACCAGGGTATTCTGGAGACCATTGTGAGCTAGACGTAGCAGTATGCAACTCCACGGAAGAAGTTCGTTGCTACAACGGGGGTCAATGTATCGAGGGGCCTGGCTTTAAATTTTATTGCAAATGCTTACCCGGTAAGTAATGTTTTCAAAGCAACATCGATGGTATTATTGCCTTCACTCATAGTGTCAGTCACGCGATTGTCGAATAAAGATGCTCATTCAATGAACGACATTACATTTTCAACTACATCTCCTTGTCTTTCATAGTTTGAGTAACTATTTCCTTTGTTTATTTTGAGGGTTCCCTACCGTCGCATTAGAATATTTTTGTTCTTTTTAAGGTTGGGCGGGACCTAAATGTGAAGACCAGATTGATGAATGCGAATCAAATCCGTGTCAAAATGGAGGGGTTTGCATCGATGTGCACGCAGATTACATGTGTGCTTGTGCCTTTGGTAATTACAAAAATTTATTTACATACACATATCCATAACATCACGCCTTTTATCCCCTAAGGGGTAGGCAGAGGTGCACATTATGCCACTGTACAATGTAACACCCACTTTTCACTATTTATGTTATATGAGTCCCATGTAATAGGGGGTGAGCCTATTGCCATATACCGGGCACAAGTCCAGACTCCATGCTACTACTGAGATTTTTTTAAAAAACCCCGTAATACTTTGCCCGGCCCGGGAATCGAACCCGAGACCTCTTGCCCGGCAATCGCACTTGCGACCACTCGGCTAACGAGGCAGTCAAAATTTATTTAACCGACTAATAATTTAGACAACTCTATCCTTACTCCTTGTTTCTCGTATTTCAGGCTTCACAGGAAAAAGTTGTGAAGTACAAATAGAGTTTTGTGATGAAAACTCTTGTAGTAACAATGCTTTGTGCGTTGTGGAGGATGGCGCTAGAGTCTGTTATTGCGTTCCTGACTACCATGGAGAGAGATGCGAGTTGCAATATGACGAATGTTTATTGGGACCCAGGTATGTACATAGTACCTTATAGACTTAAGTATGTAAAACGGCATAAATGAAAAGAATATTTATTTGAAACGGGTATTTTGTTTACAGGTGCATGAACGGCGGCACATGTATCGATGGAGTAGATAATTTCACTTGCTCCTGTCCTCCGCGACTAACTGGTCCATTATGTGAATGTCTCATACTTGACGATGAAAGTTACGATTGCGAATACGTCAGCCCTACACCTCTAACAAGTTCCACGCAATCAGTTCTAACAACTTTGATAGAAGAAATTACAACACCGAGCGTTTACACTGAAATGTCTACATACAGTCCAAACGACACAACCATTTTAACAACTGATAGCGATGCTGTGTCTACTACAGTAACAGATACAAGTACTGAAAAGAAACCAGTTTTTACAGCTACAACAGTTATAACCGAAATAACAACGAAAGAAGATGCCATCAGTAGTACATCTGAAGAAACTACATTAACTAGTGAATCTACAACAACGAAAGCAGGAATTTCAGAACTACCAGACCATGAAGAAACAAGACCAACTATAGATTCTGATAATGCAAAAACAGATACTACTACTGATGACGCAGTTAGTACTTCATCATCACCTACTGATTTCACTACTAGTTCGATGGGTAGTACTAAATTTTATATACCAATAGAAACAACTAAGGATATCACCGAAGATGGTACCCCTACATCTTCTGGTACTACACATAGTACCACAGAAGAAGTGACAGTTCCAGGAGAAATAACAACTACACCTAAAGTGGATGTGAGTACAGACCAAATGTTCACAGACATTCCTACTGACCGTCCAGGAACTGAACAACCAACTGGCTTTTCGTCTACTACTGAGGCTGTGGAAGTTAGCAGTGGTAGCGTCAGTAGTGGCAGTACAGAGATTGTGACCACAGTGCAGTCTGAGTGCACTGATTCAATATGTAATGGTCATGGAAGCTGTATCAACACTCCGCATGGGATACGGGTAAGACACGATTTAAATTGTTTGTTATCGAAAATGTACAAGACTTTTTGACAAAATGATGTTATTACGCTTGTCTGTAGTCGTAGAGAACAAAACGATGAAGTGACTCTTTTTGTATTATTGACTTTTTACAGTGCCATTGCAATTTCAATTATGGAGGAAGATTTTGTGACGAAGCAATAACAATTACGTCTGCAGCGTTCGGAGGGAATTCGTTCATAGCTCATAAACTTGCAAATACTACGTCTATCAACATAGAATTCAACGCGAAAACTCTCATTACGGACGGACAAATACTGCATGCGGATATCGCGAAAGGAGTTTACATGCAATTGTACATGAATTCTGGTTTATTGAAATTCAAATTTTCGTGCGGCTACCAAACAATGCTTTTGAGCGAGCTGAAGACTTTTGTCAATAAAGGGTATCCTATGAAAATTGAAACGAGGTACCTGAATTACTTACTCTACATCTTATATTCCGTAATTAATATAAATTATTACAGTCGTTATGGTTATTTAAAATAGGACTAGCCAATAATGTCATGCTACTTATAATTTGTTGTGTTGACTATTGGATGGGTAATCATTACCACTTCTCAATCTCATGTAGTTAACATCTAGTTTAGAGTTCAAAATGACAAGACAACAATTTAGAAAATATATACCGTTATTTTTTTGTCATCGTAACTTTTAATAAAATTTAAAAAATATTTTAACCTTTTTTCAGGCTCGATTTGTACCCAGAAGATCAGCACTGTAACGCGACACTACGTCTGAATGACACAGTGGCTATGAGTGGTGGTCAAGTTGCCAATATTACCACTCTCGACCATAACTCCACATTATACCTTGGCAACTCCAGAGACACCAAGGATAGCGAGAGCAAACCGTTCATTGGATGCATCCGGGACCTAATTGTAAGTTTTCCCATCGATATTCTTTATAACTTTCATATATTTAGTTCAAATTGAACCTTATTGGGCTTTGTCATCATCATTACCTATGTCAGTTTTCCTGGCTGAGAACTTTGGCTGGGTCTTGTTATGTTCCTCATCGTCATCATTTCTTGTTTACCTTGACATTACCAAAAATCGAGAATCGAGGAGGTGTAAGTCCATATGGAATTATACATACAAGTACATAAATCTTCATAACTGAATTAGTTAACTATAAAAATGTAGATTCCTTTTCATGGGCGTAGCCAGCTTTGAGCTCAGGGTGGGGCAGCAGCCAACCTATCCCCCGGGGGAGCCGATTCGGAGTCGCGGAGACCCTAACGGATAACCGGGGCTCCGGCTCGACGTACAGGAGAAGGAACGGGGTGGTTTTTAGTCAGTAAGAGTCTGACACTCCCTCCCGTCTCACACAGGCGGGAGCAGTCATTCGATGATTTTCCCCCCTTAAAAAAAATCCCCCGGGGGAGGGCGGTGGCCCTCCGATTTTTTGTACCTTGAGCCGTTAATCTCAAACTTGTTAATCTCTTAAATTTGGCTAAAGACTGTCTCAGTAGGATCTCGCGATTACGGATATTGATGTTGTTAGTTAGAGTTAGTAAAAAAAACATTGTTTAATCCGACACCTTATGGGTCAGAGCCAGGGCCCAGGGTGGGGCAAGTGCCCCAGCTTGCCCCAGTGTGGCTACGCCCATGTTCCTTTTGAAAATACTGTTTAAGGATTTTTTTTACCATTAGTCTCTATTTAAATGTGTGTATTACGGTGGATTTGGCTTATAGAGCTAGAGACAAACAAAAGTTGGTGACAAAATTAAGAAAATCTTTAGGATAATATTCGTTGCTCTTCCTCAGGTAAACGGTGAAAAACGCGAAGTGTTCGGTGATGCTCTGGACGCTGGAGAAGTAACGGAGTGCCTGTCCCTCTCTTGTCTGTCTGGCCCTTGTCTCAACGGAGGTACCTGCAGTGACCACCACGATGGAGGGTATACCTGCTCCTGTGCGAATGGGTAAGGAAATAAGTGAAATAATAGTGAATTTGTTCGACAAGTTACATGTCAGTCTCCATAGAGACATTGATCGTTAAAGATATTTTTTTGAGGAGTGTAAATCTATTTTATCCTATTTTGCAGTTGGCTAGGAGAGCATTGTAATGAATCAGTGTGCGAGAATAACCCGTGCCAGTCTGGTGGTAGCTGCGTCCGTCACCCGGGCAGTGGGTTCCTCTGCTTGTGCCCTTATGGGAAACATGGCATCTTGTGTGAATACAGTAAGTAGCTAAGACATTTTATTTCATGTAGCAATGGAAAATTTTCCCATTTCGGAAATCAAACTGAGACACCTGGTTCGGCAGTCGTGCTTGCTCGACCAACTGCGGTACTTTTGGAAATATCTGACTCTACTTAAGCCTTACTAAAACGAGGGCTAATAGGTCTTGCTACCCTATTCGGTAACATGTCAATTCGAATTCTCAAAGTGAGCTCAATCATCGACATATACTAACTAAAGGCATGTCCAGCCTTAGAGATGAGAATTGTGGCACTCCGAAAGAAAGAGAGGAAACACAATTTCGGTCTATCTTTATCTCTCTCAAAATAGTACCGTAGTTACGACGTTATGAGCAAGAAAGAGATAGCGCTAGGCCGAAAGCATACGCCATCTCTCTCATCCTTTTCAAACCAAAAAATTACTGCGGATTATACGCGGACGGCATGTCCATTAGTTTATGTCGATGAGCTCGATCGTGGTCCGCCATGTCATTGGTTGGAAGAATGATCCCGACAAATGACGGGCGAGAATGCGATCGAGCTCACTGTGACTGTTCGAATTGACATCTTACAGAATAGCCAGACTCGCTTCTATTGAAACAAAAGTATGACAACTAACGACAGTTGTCATAAGGCCCGCTAAGTAATGGGTAATTGGGTACTGCCCATACCCTCAGGGAAAACTTCATATAGTTACATATATCTTGTATACATAATAACATAGTTAGATTGCTAAATATCAATATGCCAGTCGTTAAAGGTTAGAAAATGTCAAAGGTTAGATCGATAGATGTTTTGTAACAGCACTCAACTAAATTATAGTTTAACTTATCATGGTAATGGAACCGTAGCTTACATTCACTTTGTTGTGGTATGATGTATTGATAACAATAAGAAAAAACATGGTTGCTTTGTTAATTTCGTGTGTCAAAGAGGTCTTCGAAATTTGGTTTAGCTTAGAGTTGTCTAAAATCGAGTAATTATCTAATCGGTTTTTTTTATGGGATAAGTCGGTAAACGAGCAGACGAATCACCTGATCCTGACCTGAACTGGCAAGCAATCGGCGTCGCCAACGGACACCTGGAATACCAGAGGCGTGACAAGTGCGTTACCGGATTTTCGCGGATTAGGAATTTGAGAATTCTTGGGATTCAGGGATTGGGAAGATTGGGGATGGAGGAGAGGATTATTGGGCCTCAACCCACCCACACGACGAAACACAATGCAAGCGTGGTCTCACGGCGGTTTATCTGTGAGATCGTGGTATCACTCCGGTCGAGCCGACCCAATTATGCCGAAGCTTGGCTCTCCCACATTTATCACTGGGTTAATCATAAAAAGTCTACTTAAACAATAACCAAACAATCACATGACACGCCTTCAAATTTATTTTAAAATTAATTAAATTGAAGTAACTTCTGATCTGTATCTGTATCTAATAAGTGAATAATTATGCCTTGTCATGCACGTCAGACAAGCCATGGTTTCAACAACTCCTACATATTAATTTAAAGACGTATAGTAAACGTAGAGGAGACCAATCATAAATCACGGAAACAATGAAGCATTTTGAATAATGAACCAATGTATCGCAACGAAATTAATTCAAATTGTATGATTAGTGGACTAGGAAGAAATAGATTTAAGTAGATAGTCCCTCTTTTTTGCAGAAGACCGGAGACCAAAATGCTTATAGAAAGTAATAATAACACATCTTCCTTTTTTTATAGCATAAGCCGGTAAACGAGCAGATGGATCAGCTGATGGTAAGCAATTGGCGCCGCCCAGGACACCCGAAACACCAAGGCGTTAGAAGTGCGTTACCGGCCTTTTGAGAATTGAGCATTTGAGGATTGTGTAGGATACGGGGATTCGGAAGACTAGGGAGACTATCCCTTCGGAAGACTAGGGAGACTATTATTCGGAAGACTAGGGAGACTATCCCTAGTCTTCCGAATCCCCGTATCCCTAGTGGGAAGGGGGTAATTGGGCCTCCGGTAACCTCACTCACACGACGAAACACAACGCAAGCGTTGTTGGCCCATTCGTGCCAAAGAATGGCTCTCCCACACTTAAATTATTTTCACACACGAAACTTATTTTCCCAACTAAAAACATGTAAAATTTAATTCACAGACGTAGAAATAACGCGTCCAGCATTAGCTCCAATCAGTACTGGGATATCTTCCTATATCATGTACGCATTATCCCCGGCTGCTATGAACTCCGATCGTTTCGACCTGCGCCTTCGCTTCCAGACTTCAGATATGGATCAAATAGCTCTGCTTGCTTTCATCGGCCAAAGTGGAAGACATGATTCCCGAAGCCAACATCTAGCATTGACTTTTGTGAAGGGATATATTATGCTTACTTGGAATATGGGCAGTGGTGAGTATGAAGAAGTGATTTTATTGTTTGCTTGTCTATTTCTTTTCTTTACCTCTTTGCTTGGATGCGTAGAGATAGCGCGGTCTTTGAAGTGTTAATTTGAGAAAATGTATTGTGTTTGTATTATGATGTGTATGTTGCCTTCCTAAACACACATAAGTCATATTCATATTTAGGTTCTTAGGAGCAAAGTTCGGCAGAATTAGTCATCCAAAATATAAAATTTACGTCTGGTGGTTACGGCACGTCGTAGTGGCCCAGATGTTTCACATGCATGAGGGTGCGGGTTCGAAGCCTACCCACGGCAAATACCAATGACTACCAGTGAGTTTTTCCGAGTAATATGTACTTTCTAAGATTATCTAGACACCACTGACAAACGCCGAGGGAAAACAACGTGAGGAAACCTTAGCTTTTTTTTTTTTTTTTTTATTTTTTTAAGGGGGGAAAATCATCGAATGACTACCCCCGCCTGGGTGAGGCGGGAGGGAGTGTCAGATTCTTACTGACTAAAAACCACCCCGTTCCTTCTCCTGCACGTCGAGCCGGAGCCCCGGTTACCCGTTAGGTTCTCCGCGACTCCGAATCGGCATCGGCCCTATTGGGCCCCATCTGTGGTGGTCTGATGGCTCTTTGAGGCGCGCGCGGAACGCGACGCGCCGTACGCTCGGGTCTGTTTCTGGTCGGACGGGGAGCCACCCATGCTCGCCGTCCGCAGGCCCGCGCTTACGGTGGCCGGAGATCGTCCCGCGATCCCCGACGCCCGGTGTGTCCTTCGCGATGGCTGGGTTGCGAGGAGGCAGCGCTTCGCTGCCTCACGCGTCCCGCCTCCTCCTTAGCTAGCATGACTGCTTCGCAAAAGGAGGAGACGGCATCCCAATCCCCCTCGCTCCGCATCATGGCCTGCACTAGGCCCGGACGCGAGAGGTCGCCATCGCCGATCACTTCCCTGAGGACACGGCGGTGCTCAGCCCACGAAGGGCATTCTCCCACCGTGTGTTCCACCGTGTCCTCAGGGCGGTCCTCGCAGTGATGACACCCGGGCGTTTCCTCCCGCCCCATCAGACACAGGTACCTCCCGAAACTTCCATGTCCGGTGAGGACCTGCGTCAGGCGGTAGGTGAGGACGCCGTAGCGTCTCTCAAGCCACTCCTCAAAGAGGGGACTTACCGCTGCGATGGCAGCGAGCCCAGCCCTCGGTTGCGACAGTCGTTGCTGCCATTCCGCCATGAGATCGCGCCGGAGCTCATCCCGCCACGCACCTATCTGGCGCGGCAGCGGGGTTTCGCCCCGGCGACGTGCCTCCGCGCGCATGCTGTACACGCGCGCGAGCACCTTCGCCTCCAGATCCCACGGCGGTAATCCGGCAAGGAGGTTCGCCGACTCCCCAGAGATCGTGCGGTATCCGCGGATCATTCGGATCGCCATGACCCTCTGTGCCATGAGCAGCGTCCGAGCGGGACGCCGCAACAGGTTTGGCGCCCAAACAGGGGCGCCGTAGAGGGCCATGGACCGCACGACCCCGGCGTATAACCTCCGGCAGGAGGGAGGAAACCTTAGCTAGCTTATAATTTCTAGTTATAAGTTTGTAATCGCCAACCCGCATTGAGCCAGCTTGGTGAATAATGCTTAAACCTTCTCCGTGTGGAAGAGGCTTTGCTCAGCAGTGGGCATTTGTAGGCTGTTGATAATGAATAAATAAATTCAACCTTGGCATAAGCTTAAAGGAAATCTAGTTACAGGTGCCTCGTTGCTTGTTTAAAAAGCCCCTTATATTTTTTTGTGACATGTTCTCTTATGAGACATCTAAGCACGAATGTTACCTAGATTGTATACATATAATATGAACCATCCTACTTGTTTTTTGCAACAGAATTTGTGAATCACCCCTCATACGATAGCATTGGCAACACGCCAAAGTAATCAAGTGAATGCGATACCTCAAGAATGCATGTTTTTATTGACGTTGCATTCACTACCAGCCAGCCAACCAATGTCGGCGGATATACCTCTATGAGTCATTCTATGTCTTGCGAGGATCAAACTATTTGGATCACACAGTTATTATGTTTATAGTCTATTTCAATACCACCCTGGGAGTCTTTAATAAAGATCTCGTGGGATCCGTAGGACTATGGTCGCCTGGGAATACCGTATTTAAATAAATGTGTACCTGAACAAGCATAGTTTGTTTTAAGTTCATGTTTAAAAAATTAATCCGACTGTATACTAATACATTTCCAGGTGTGTGTGGTTTTTGAGATATTAAAAAAAGTTATTATTATCAAGAGTTGTGTTTCTTTGGCTGACTGTCTAGATCTGACGAAGTTAACAATAAGACGATAGCAATAACAATAAGACTATAGCAATAACAATAAGACTAAAGTCAACAATATTTCGGGTAACTCTCGAAAGTGATCGAGAACCCTCGATCGTTTTTGATGACACATGGTTTTCGAATAATTCTCGAAGCAGATCGAGGACGCTAAATTGTTTTCGAGGACGCACGATTTTTTTCGAGGGCGCTCGATTGTTTTCGATAACACATGGTTTTCGAATAATTCTCGAAGGAGATAGAGGACGCTCGATGGTATTCGAGGAAGCTCGAAAGTGATCGAGGACGCTAGATTGTTTTCGAGGACACTCGATTGTTTTCGAGGACGCTCGAAAGTGATCGAGGCTGCTCGAAAGTGATCGAGGACGCTCGATTGTTTTCGAGGACGCCCAATTGTTTTCGAGGACGCTCGAAAGTGATCGAGGGCGCTCGTTTAATTTCGAGGACGCTCGAAAGTGATCGAGGGCGCTCGATTGTTTTCGAGGACGCTCGAAAGTGATCGAGGATGCTCGAAAGTGATCGAGGACGCTCGATTGTTTTCGAGGACGCTCGAAAGTGATCGAGGGCGCTCGATTGTTTTCGAGGACGCTCGATAGTGATCGAGGATGCTCGAAAGTGATCGAGGACGCTCGATTGTTTTCGAGGACGCTCGAAAGTGATCGAGGGCGCTCGATTGTTTTCGAGGACGCTCGAAAGTGATCGAGGATGCTCGAAAGTGATCGAGGACGCTCGATTGTTTTCGAGGACGCTCGAAAGTGATCGAGGGCGCTCGATTGTTTTCGAGGACGCTCGAAAGTGATCGAGGACGCTCGAAAGTGATCGAGGACGCTCGATTGTTTTCGAGGACGCTCGAAAGTGATCGAGGGCGCTCGATTGTTTTCGAGGACGCTCGAAAGTGATCGAGGATGCTCGAAAGTGATCGAGGACGCTCGATTGTTTTCGAGGACGCTCGAAAGTGATCGAGGGCGCTCGATTGTTTTCGAGGACGCTCGAAAGTGATCGAGGATGCTCGAAAGTGATCGATGACGCTCGATTGTTTTCGAGGACGCTCGAAAGTGATCGAGGGCGCTCGATTGTTTTCGAGGACGCTCGAAAGTGATCGAGGGCGCTCGATTGTTTTCGAGGACGCTCGAAAGTGATAGAGGACGCCCGATGGTTTTTGAGGACGCTCGATTGTTTTCGAGGACACTCAAAAGTGATCGAGGACGCTCGTTTGTTTTCGAGGACGCTCTACTCGCGATCGAGGATGCTCGAAAGTGATACAATTAAAATTTTACTAATATACAATTTAGGGTGTCACGCGCCCCGAACCGGTATAGGGCGGCAAAAAGTAAGCTTATAGGAATTCTTGTATCGGATTTGGGATGCCATTAACCGGTATTGGGCGGCGAATAGTAATATGTGTAATATGACTGCACGGTTGGTGCGGTGGCTGGGCGACCGGCTGCCATGCTACGTGTCGCGGGTTCGATTCCCGCACGGAACAACACTTTGTGTGATCCGCAATTGTTGTTACGGGTCTGGGTGTCATTGTGTATGTGAACTTGTATGTTTGTAAACGCACCCACGACACAGGAGAAAATCCTTATGTGGGGCAACGTTTACACAAAAAAAATAAATATATTCTCCGAATTTTACAAGTCTTATCATTTATAGAAAGCGACTAGTATCTTTAGTCGGTTTCGACTTGTATAGAGTTTGGGGCGCCACTGAACGGGAGCAGGCGGTGACCAATTTTTAGGTGATTCCAAGTTCGGTATTGCATCTTAGTGTTATTCTTAACTGATGATGTTAATATGTCAAGTGGGATTTTTCCTAGCGATGATATTTCTTAAGCTTTCTGCTTACTCTGGACAATGATTTTGAATAGTCCCCATAGAACCAGGTGACGGTATTGTGGAGTATATGCAACATACACTACAATTATATGACTTTCTTTCTAACATCTTCAAGGTCCTCGTCGAGTATTTACGTCCCGTGCTCTAAGCCCCCGACGTGGTGGCCATGCGGTCCGCGTGTGGAGACGCGGTCGCTCAGCCGGTCTTAGTGTGGACGGACGACACAATATCTCCGGCAATGCACCCGCTCATAGCACCAAGATGACGCTACTACCATACATTTTTATTGGTAAGTCTAATTGAATACACCGAAAAATGGGACTGGTTTCTATGGACACTTCCATGATTCATTAATAGAGGTAGATTTGGTAGGTGTGGTAGATGATGTAAAACAAGAAACACTTAATAATATTTAAGTATTTCTGTTCTGTCCGACCGAAAATTACTTAGAATAGGATAGGAGCAAGTAAAAGTAGACGAAAGAATAAAATGTTACGTTGTCTTGTATCTTACCAAGGTTTATCTGTTTTTGTTAGGTGGACATCCATCACCAGACTTCGCGGATCTGCCCCACGATTTGCCCTTGCACAGTGGATGGCGGGGTTGTATTTGGGAGGTGGGTGGGCAAGCAATTGGCGCTGGTGCGAGGGCCGCTGGGGGTCGAGGAGTGGGACAGTGTGGTGTCGCACAGTGCACTGCTAAGTCTTGTAATGCACCACGAGGCGTTTGCATACATTCTCCTGCAACTTATGGGTAAGGATCTCTCTTCTTTTTTGCATTGAAAATAGAACTGAACGCGTCTGTTTTAATGTCGTTGACTGCATAAGATCCTTAAAAAACTGTAATTACTAATAGACATTAGTATCACAGCTACTTAAAATTTGCCAACATATTCATATTCATGTGAATGTGTAATAGTGACATATTCTGTCCAATTTTAAGTATACAGATGAAAAACTAAATCTTCAAAACTGATGACTAATAAGCGTAAGTTTCGAACTCCGTAAACTAAATCTTCTACCTATCTACGTAATTTTCTATTCAAAATCCTAATCTGATGACTATTCTACACAACCAGATGTATCTGCAACGAGGGTTGGTTCGGGGCAACGTGCTCTAGTACCCGCAACCCTTGCGACCGCGCGCACTCCAAATGTCAAGGACAGTGCGTCATCACTACTGACGGGAACACGCAGTGCGACTGTCCTTATCGCAAGACTGGAGTTTACTGTGATCAGGGTGAGTTCTATTGCTTTAATTCATTTATAGACAAAGCCTTCTTATCTCCCTGATGGAGTAGGCAGAGAGGAGTAAGTTATTCAATATATTGACTGTACTATTGATAAAAGTCCCGTTATAATAAGCAGTAAGGGTGGTATTAAACAGTGAATTTCGTATTAATATTGAACATAACCGAAGATGCCAATAATACCTACTTTACCCAATCCTGAGATCCAACCTGATGTTTCGTGCTCGGGTATTTTTCTACTCACCCAATCAACAAGACACTTCAGTTCAAAAATCTACTATCTTATTTTTATATTGAGCTTTTTACCACGGACCTGCAACAGAGCGGCACCGTTAGTTGGATGGCTGGGCAACCGGATACCGCGCAACGTGTCGGGGTTCGATTCCCACACGGAACAACTCTTTGTGTGATCCACAAATCGTTATACCGGGTCTGGATATCATGTGTAGAACTTGTATGTTTGTAAACGCACCCATAACACAGGAGAAAATCTGTGGGGCAACATTTTTTTTAAGTAAAGGTAGGCTAAAAATTTCTTAAGATAGAAATCAAGATATCACAAATTTTCTGTACACAATTAATTTTCGATAACACATTCTGATGTATGTCCAATCTCTAATTCCAGACCTAATTCCCACGGATGTCCTATTTACGGGAACGAGATCCTACTTGCAGTTGCACCCTACCACCATTTCCAGCGTCAGTCTGTCTTTGGAGTCTGAAATCAAGCCGGCTAAGGAACGCGGGCTCGTGATGTTTGTTAAGACTCCACATTTCTATACTGCCTTGTCCCTTCAGGGAGGCTTGCTGGAGTATCGGTGGACTGGTATGGAAGCCATAGATATATTTCTAAAAATATTTTTTCTATTATCTTTATTTTAGGGTCTAATCTCGTTAAAGTACTTGTTCTGTATATTAAAGAGCACTAAAAAGATAGTCATATTCATTCTGAATCCATGTTGGGCCAATTTTCATAATACCTATAGGTATATCAGTGCATGGCTATTCATTTTTGTTTTGGTCATCATCAACAGCCTATAAATGCCCACTGCTGAGCAAAGCCTCTTCTCACAGGGAGAAGGTTTGAGCATTAATCACCACGCTTGCTCAATGCGGGTTGGCGATGTCAAAGTTATAATAAGAAATTATAAGCACAGGTTTCCTCACGATGTTTTCCTACACCGTTTGTCGGTGATGTTTAGATAATCATAGAAAGTACATATTATTCGGAAAAGTCACATTGGTACTTGCCATTGGTAGGTTTCGAACCCGCACCCTCATACATGAGAAGCGGGCATCTTAAACCTCCTGGCCAAGTGGCCACCATGACTACTACTACTACTACTACAACTCCTCCATGACTTGTTTTGGTCATGTAACTATTATGGGCCATCCACTGCATTCAATTTCAAATGATTTAAAGTTTTTCCGTTCAGATTTAGCTCTACATACTTCTTTCTATTTAAATATTCACCATATATTTTTTTACATAATTCGCTTTCTTCTTCAACAGTAATTAATTCAGTCGATTTCTTCAGATCGTCTATCCGGAGTGACATCACTGGTGCGTAGTGGAGTGGTAGTATCAATGTCCCAGTGGCACAGCGTCAAAGCTGGTCGGTACGGTAGTAGACTGTATGTGTGGGTCGACGGGTCTCTTAGTACTGAGGCCATGTTGGCACATGCATACCCCCATACTAATGGCAACGCTTCTATATTACTTGGTAAGTTGTCTCTAATTCTATATTATGGTTATTTGCTCCAAAAACTCTTAATCTCGATTCAAAGCCGTATCTTTTTCTTTTTTTCTCATTTAATTCCCTACTTTTTCTTTTTTCTTCCGCTTTGGCAAACAAAGAAAAGAAGACAAAGATAGCTGGAATTTGACTTTATCCTTTCCATTTTAAGTGTCAGGTCTTTAATAGTGGTATTTTACATATCGTTCATTGTTATAGGTGGTGCAAAAGACCTGTCTACCCTGCCTTTCGATGCGATGTCAGGTGCACCAGCGCCATACACGGGCTGCATCAAAAACTTCCACGTCAACAATATTCTGCTTCCTTTAGAACAGCAGAATATACAAGGTAAGTACACTTAATAATAGACCCTCGATTGATTTTGATATTATTTGTGTAATCCATCCGGACTCTTCCGGAATCTCTCCGGATTCATGTGTTTTTAATCACTAGGTGGTTTTATTTGTCCGATATCCTTCTCGGATTTAAATTAACTTTGAATATCTTATTTGTCCGATAGGGAACTGTGGATAAATAGATATTACGCTACAGCTACACTATTGCCATTAGTGGGAAGCACATTGCGAATTAGAACTGTTGACATTGAGAAGGGACCTAGGACAACAACTATTAAATTAAATAAACATCTAACTCCTTGTTCACCAGAGGGTCGCAACCTAGCAGACTGTGACGGCACAGCCTGTGGAGACGAGGCATGTGGAGGCGGTGTCTGTATACTCGAACAAGGCAGGGCTCGGTGTTCATGCGGAGCTTCCTCCAACTACATTGGTACTGGGCCTCGTTGCCGTCGCCATGTCTCCTGCCAACCTTCCACCTGTGCCCCGCCTAGAGGTCGCTGCAGAGCTGACCGATGCATCTGCTCTGCTGGATACGCTGGGACTTTCTGTGATCAAAGTCAGTATTGTTTCACTAGATTTTTTAACTCCTTTCCTGTTTAGGACACTTTTGGTCATGTAACGCTGTAACTCCTTGTTTCACAGAGGAATATGTATTTACTATGTAGTGAACTGTTTAAAACCCTTTGATATTATAAGCTTATATTGGTCAATTTCAGACCAAGGTCACCCTCACCCCATTCCTTAATCATCATGTTCTTTAATTTTCTTCTTCGTTTTTCCAGAGATCGACATCAAAATCCCGCAATTTGATGGTACTTCGTTAGTATCACTAGGACGACAGTCTGCAATGGTCCATACTAATCAACAACGAATTGCTCCGACTCTTGCCAGGCCCAGCTACGTCGCACTTAATTTTACAACGGCTGAACCAAATGGTCTACTGGTATGGATTGAAATGGTAAGTAGTAATTTCATAAAATTAGCCAGTCTAGTTTTATTCATCATCAGCCTGTATTCGTCCACTGCTGGACATAGGCCTCTCCTATGGCACGCCACTGAGCTCGGTCTTCAGCTCTTCTCATCCAACCACTGCCAGCCACCTTGCAGATGTCGTCACTCCACCTAGCTGGAGGGCGCCCTACACTGCGTTTGCCCAGACGCGGTCTCCACTCTAGAACACGTTTACCCCAACGGTTATCGGTTCTTCGACAAATGTGACCGGCCCACTGCCACTTCAGCTTACTGATCCTTTGGGCTATGTCGATAACTTTGGTTCTCTGTCGGATCACTTCGTTTCGGATTCGATCCTTCAAAGAGACTCCGAGCATAGCCCTCTCCATAGCTCGCTGCGCGACCTTAAATTGGTGGACCAGTCGCACTGTCAGTGTCCACGTCTCGGCTCCGTATGTCATTACTGGAAGGACGCACTCGTTGAAGACTTTTGTCTTCAGGCTTTGCGGTATCTGAGACGAGAAGACTTGATTAAGTTTTCTATATGCTGCCCAGCCAAGCTGTATCCTTCTACGGGCCTCCTTTTCGAAGCTGTTCCTACCAAACTGCAGGGTTTGTCCTAGGTAGATGTATTCCTGAACGACTTCGAGAGGCGACCCGTTGAGAACAATTGGCTCCGGAATGACATGTTCATTGAACATTATTTTTGTTTTGTCCAAATTCATCCGGAGCCCAATGCGCGCGGAAGCATCAGCCAGGCTGCACAGCATATATTGCAAGTCCTGAACGGTTTCAGCCACGATGACGATATCATCTGCAAATCTCAAGTGTGAGAGATACTTGCCGTTTATGTTTATGCCCCGTCCTTTCCAATGCAGTGTCTTGAACATATCCTCCATAGCATTTGTGAACAATTTGGGGGATATAACATCCCCTTGTCTCACTCCTCGATGCAGGTGAATAGGTTCAGACTGCTGATTTTGTACTTGGACGGCCATAGTCGCAGCTTCGTACAGTTCTCTCAGCACTTGGATATATCGCCAGTCGACTTGGCACCGTTGTAAGGACTCCAGAACAGACCAGATCTCGATAGAGTCAAAGGCCTTCTCATAGTCCACGAACGCCAAGCATAGAGGCCGATTATACTCCTCGGTCTTCTGTATAATCTGCCTCATCGTGTAAATGTGGTCCATGGTGCCATATCCTCCTCGGAACCCGGCCTGCTCGGGGGGCTGAAACTCATCAAGCCTTCGTGCGAGACGATTCGTGATGACCCTGGAAAACAGCTTATAGATGTGGCTCAAAAGAGAAATAGGACGATAGTTCTTCAAAAGGGTTTTATCTCCCTTTTTGAAGAACATAACGCCTAGCATAACGTCTAGTTTTATTGTTTTCCACTTATTCTTTTCCGATTCCTTAGATGCATTTGACGTGGTTCGCGACATTATTTTATCAATATTCCTTCACGATCACTAATAAAAATATTCCCTAATAAAACAACTAAAGTACTAAGCTGATATTTAATGAATTTTGGTTTCTGTTATTAAAAAGCATATTCTGGTTCAGACTGAAGACGGGGAATGCCTCAGGGGCCTATACCCCAACCAACTCCTTATCTTATTACATTACTAGCGACCCGCCCCGGCTTCGCACGGGTGCAATATGCATGTATTATACATACAAACCTTCCTTAAGAATCACTCTATCTATTAAAAAAAACCGCATCAAAATCCGTTGCGTAGTTTTAAAGATCTAAGCATACATACGGACATACAGCGAAAGCGACTTTGTTTTATACTATGTATTGATTATTAAAGTAAGTAAATGTGACTTACATAGGTACGTACACGTATTGTTTTTCAACAGGGCAACGATTACATTGGACTAGGACTTGAGAATGGATATGCAAAACTGGTCTGGTCATTCAATCATAACAGTGTTAAAACAGTTAAATCGGGCTATGGAGATTTGGTGGGATCTCCAAGGACTTTGACCAGACTGATGCCTCATGCTGGCTACCTAAGTGATGGTGAATGGCATATTTTAGTTCTACAGATCAACGAAACTAATATTACATTGACGGCTGATAATACACTGGTGTATACGGAAGAACCAGGATTGAATATTGAAGCTGAGTATGATGATATCGACATGTTTATTGGTAAGTGATAATTATTATCATCCTACTATTAGAAATGTGAAAGTTTATGAGGATGTATCTGTGTCATTCTTTAACGTATAAACTACTGAATGGATTAAGATTAAACTAGGTATTGATATATGTTTTATAATAATTATCGTAAGACTTACTAAATTAGGTAACTGAAATCGCGGGTTACTCACTTGAATATACTGAAAAAAAGCTCTACTAGTTTCGAACCACACGAGGGGGTTCTTCCTCATAAGCAGCGTGCGCGGTCGCAGCGACACGTCGCGCAGCTCACTAGTATTGAGATAGTTTGAATTAACACATAGAATACTTTTATCTGGATGATGCAAGGGAAGGCGCTGGTATAATTAGTCTAATATATTTCCTGTGTAACCTACTTCATATTTGCACACATATTATAATATTTTCTATCACTTATGAAAGATAAGGTTAAATTACTTGTAGGACTAATTGATTATTATTATGTTCCAGGTGGCATATCAGACCATGACTATGAAAAAGCGAAAAAAATATTCCCAAATAATTTTAAAGGCTGCATCGACCAAATTTCTACAAGGGAGAAATCATTTATAACGAATTATACAGAAGTGTATAGCGAGAACGTGAAGTCGTGCCAACTCTACCCCCCAACATGATCAGACTAAGTTATAATGAGAACTAGGTCTTGTGAAAATACTCATAGTACAAAAAGTCTAGTCTTCTTATAGGACCAATGTCTTATAAACGCAATGTTATCATAGGACACTTTCGCCCGAATACTGAAAGGATATTCAATTTTAAATTGTACTTAAATATCGTACCATCTCTGCCATTTTACAAAAAGACCTTGTAGTAACAGAATTATTAAAATGGAGTGAATAGGGATCGAGAGGTGAATACAGACAAAAGAGGGGTGAATAGATAGATATTGGGAAATTCTTCATTCGATTCACCCTTTTTCTGTCTGTATTCACCTCTCGGTCCCTATACAATCCATTTTAGCGTACTTAAGCGCTACTTAAAATTGAGTGACGTTTGAGTATTCGGACATTTTCTTAGTATTTATAATATATGGGTGCAATTATATATAAGTTTATTATAACTTAGTATTATGAAATTTGTGCAGATCTTAATTAAGTTTGGTGGTATGTTTTGTATTGTAGAAAAACAAATTAAACATTCAATGTACACAAAATATAGTTTTATTGATATATTCATGTTTAATAAATTGTATACATAACATCATCAAATATTATATTAAAACATATACATTTTTCGTTATACGTTACATACTCAAACACAAATACAATATGAGATGTTATCCCCGTTATTCTCATTAATTTAAAAACGTTTAGTTCTCAACACAATGCAGTAATTTCAATTGGCATACATGTTCAGCATCTAAACATGCTCCTTACACGAAGCTCATGAATATCAGATTTATTTACATTTCATTATTAAAGCATGTACATTTATAAAAGTCATAGAATTCATTAGGCCTATTTACAAGTGGAATAAAGTTGGAATGCTTGACCATAGTACACAATTTAGCTTGCAATCGGTGTATTGTACAAGAGTGTAAAACTCACTAGGAACATCGATTCCTTCACTTGATACACGATACTATTCTGATAATAATTTCTAAAAAATAAATATTTATATTAAGCGATAAAGAATAAATAATTGTTAATTGCACATCGTCATTATGATAAAATTTTCGAAAATTAAATAATAAATTTATAACATTGTAAGCTGAGCTTACGTTTTAAGTTATGCCGTACGGAAATAGGCACGAAGTGAATTTCTTCTCAACTACAGAAATATTAACAAATTCAATAAAAACAGAAGACATTTGAAATCCAAAAAGTAACACGTACTCTAGGAATGTTTCAGATAATAATAATAAAGATACAATAGAAAGAATAGAATATACTAATCACAGTAGAAGTAAATATTACATATTTACGATATATTAATGGCTATTGGTGCGTAATTGTATCTCAACCATAAATAATAATAAATAAATACAGCAACATACAGGCAGCGCCGCGCGGTACGAGGCGGCGCGCCCAGTGCGGTCGAATACAATACGAAGCCTACGTAACAATGACAATATTCAATGTTATTTATTATGTACGACATTACCTTCACGAAACAACATTAATCTGAATAATGATACTAAGAAACATCAAAGTTCATCCCCGTACAATGCTTTATTTACTCTAGTTCTGAATATAAATGATACTTAAATTCACTTTTTCTTATCTACAAGAAATTCGTTTATTAAAATTATATTTATAGGTATATGAACATCAGTTAACAATTTCCTAATAATGTTATTAAAGTAACAGACACCAGTATGGGAATTAATTTAAAATATCATATTTCAAACATAATTTTCTAAAATTGAATTCCTGTTCTTACTTTTATACCGGGTGGTAACAATCTCAATAATTCGTAATCTCTAAATTTATAAACAAATTAATTAATCTATATTATATAATGTCATCAATAAAAGGTCATGTTCTGAGAATTAAAAACAACAATATTATGAAGTTATCGATAATACAATATAATTAGGTACATCGATACTATCAAATAAGCACTCGGAGCATATAAAATCGGATTGTTCCGTGTCGCACGCGAGCTGGGAGCGGCCGCGGTACGGCGCGACACAGGACTCGTCAAGGGGAAGCATTGATTCATTCTATAAACAAAGCATTTACTTGTAAAATCAGTCTCATTCGCATAAGGAAGTGATCACAGCACACACACTGGAAACTCGTTGCAGAGCGAGGGGCCACGTCCCTCTTAACAAAACTTTAATAATAATATAGAGCACCTCGTTTGCTATCTTCTTACAATTAAATCTGATAAAGTTATGCAACAGATCGTTCGATAATTCAATTTTATAAAAATATCAAATGTATGGAAAAATACAAAGAGAATAAAATAGTAAATATCGGAAGTACGTGTCGTATCACCATCTAAACAAATATTACGATTCGATATTCAAATATAGTATAACAAGCACAACGGCATTTCGCTAATACAGTAAATAAAATAATAAGTTACAAGCATAGACTAGATTTATGAAAATTTGTGAAAGTTTAGATACAACACATAGGAGACACGATAGAACGAGAGGCTCTCTCGCTCGACTGTAAAAAATATACACTCTGAATGGCAACCTCACATCGATGCAAAAAATGCAAAGCCGGTAATATTTTTGTAATCTAAATTAAAACATCGATATCCATCGACGGACGCGACGAGAGGCGCGGCCATCGCGAGCTGGCGCCCGTCCGCCGCCCGGACTCGGCCGTACAAAACACGAGAACTCGAGTCACTCGGCCACAGTCGGCCACGTCGGCCATACTCAGCCATAGTCGGCCACAGCCGGCCGTACCGCGGCCGCGGCCGGCTACAGGCGGGCCAGCGCGCGCGGCCGGGCCGCGGCCAGCTCGCGTCACGGCCGCGCCTCCACCAGGCGCTGCAGCAACACCGCCACGCACACCGCCAGCGCCAGGAACGCCGCCGCCATCAGCAGCGCCACGTGGCCC